AGAGAGAGAGAGAGAGAGAGAGAGAGAGAGAGAGAGAGAGAGAGAGAGAGAGAGAGAATACTGACAGTCATAACAGAACTTAAAGTACGTGAGGACATTTTTAGAAAAAAATATTAAAGAATATCAGCATTTCATATCTGGCTCTGAAAACCTAAAAAATGTCAACAAAGATAGGAGTAAGCCAGTAGTTACATTTTGGTCAACCATTAATATTTCAAGATAGTGAGAGACCAAATCCACATTTTTCCAATGCTTTTTCTTAAAACACAAAAGAAGCACTCACTTGGCAAAGCTTCTGTATTTCCGATCACAAGAGGATTGTATGTTCGCGGCGCAGTCAGAAGCGTGTTTATTGGAGTAGTACCAATAGAGGTGGTTCAAACCCGAGGCAAAAGACACCAAGACAAGCATGTAGACACAGCCAAACTTGACTATATCCATTAACATTCTGCCTGGAATGCGCAAAACAAAACAAACATACAGTTGAAGAAATTAAAATAAAATGGAGAAGAAAAACAAGACAAAGCGAAAGAAATCAAGCTAAGAAGCGAAAAAAATCCTTAACATCATAAAATACATTTTTTACTTAATTAATACTAATACTTTACAAGCTATTTAATATAAGAATAAGTATCTTAGGAAAGTAGCGTAATTAACGCATAAAACTGAAGATTCAAATATGATTTAATTTGAAGAAAAAACTCTGAAGACCTAATCTGAAGATTTAAAAAAGTCATTAGTAAAGAAAATCATTACTGGAAAGCAAAGTAAGTAATTAGTGCAGTTTTTCAATATTGCCCGAGCTGCTGACTTCGATCAAGGGTGAAGTATGGAATATTTCAAATTTACTGCTTAACCAGGTTGTCATTTAAAACATTATAATTTCCCCATGAAGGTAGCGTACACCAAGAAATACGTGTATATATATACTCAGAGATACCGGCGTCTAATGGTATAGCAGTTAGTCACTTCGCTATCTCATGCGGGAGACCCAGGATCGACTCCCCACTAGGAATAATTTTATCGAGTATCTTGGTCTTTCTTCTGGGATGTTGTGTCCCTCTCAGCCCGGGGTGGCCCTTTATAGTCAGGGCCGAAGCCCGCTTCCTAAAGTATCAAAACTTTGTCGATGGAGTGTGTAAAAAAACATTACAAAAAAACACACCTACTCCCCCCCC